AATTTATATAATTATAATATATATTAAAAATTAAAAACATAAAAAATATAATAAGAAAATATTACAAAAGTTGAAGAGTTAAAACTGAAAATATTAAAGGGTTTAATCTGAAAAATAAAATAAATTGTATTTTATGTATTTTTGTTGTTTTGTGTAGGAGGGGGTATATAAAAAATAGGGGAAAGTCTAGGAGGAGGTGGAGATAGAATAACCCTTGTTTTTAAGAGGTGCTGAAATCTGAAGTCTGATTTCACTTCCGAATTATAAGAGGTGGTCCTGAAGTTTGAAATCTGGATCAGTAATATTATTTGTTTTTACATTTGAAGTCTGAAATCTGAACTGGTCAAATTAGTGCAAAAATATAAAAAATAAATAGTTTTTACAAAAGTAAAAAAATAAATAGTTTTTGCTAACAAATCTCTTCCAGTCCCCAAACTATGAACCATCTGATAGAGGGCGGATTAGGATTAAGAGATATTAAGAGATACGTTTACCACTTAAAATTTGGTAATTTGGATTTTTTTAAAAATGTTCAATTTGATATCTGAATTTAAAAAAAATGAGATTTGAAATGAAAAATAGATTTTATTGCATTAATTTTTGGAAAAAAAAAAGAATTTTAATTATTTTTCTATAATTATTTTGCAAGTTGGTTCCTCAAAATAGGAATCAGGTGCAAGTTGGTTCCCMAAAATGACGATTTTGAAAGTTTGTTCCCCAAAATAGGAATCCGGTGCAAGTTGGTTTTCCAAAAATGACAATTTTGAAAGTTGGTTTCCCAAAATAGGAATTAGATGAAAGTTGGTTTCATTTTGATGCAATTTTCTCTTAATAATATTATATTATTAATTATTTGATATGAATAGGGTATCAAATATAAAATATAAAAGCAAGGGGGGTAACGGATAAATATGAAAAGGGTGAAAAAAATAAGAGCTAAATAGAAATTGTGAAATGGATTAAAAATGAAAAACAAAATGTTGAACAACAATAAATTGAGAAAAAGAATTTCTGTTTTGATAGCTTTGATCAAAAAGTTTTAAATCCCAAAGATGATGAGTTTCATTCTTGAACAGATTGAGATAAGATGAAGAAGATGTTTTAAAAAGGATTCAATAAAAACTCTGGATCATAACTTGATGTTTGATCATACTGATATAGAGAGAAAGATCTTTGAGCATAATCTGCTTGAAGCTTTGGATCAATGTTCTGCATGTAAAAATGAACCATAGATAATCCCGAGCAAGATGCTTGATTTAAACTCTTCCATGCAAAAGGATGCAGATAGCTTTGACATATATCCATGGGAATCTCAAAATTTTGATCAAATGAAAGAACTCTTTGATGAAAAAAAATTCAACATCAATACAGATGTGTTTCTTAAATCTTTTAATTCGCCACAAGAGCTCAATGAAAACTCCAACATCCCAAGTCGCAAACGAGAGTTTCTCGATTCTGAGTCAGAAAAGGACTTGGATACAAAGCATCTTGAGATAAAGATAGTGGCATCAAGACCAGAAGTTGCAAAACTTTCAAATAAGATCCCTCTTAAATCTGTTCTAGTTATGCTACAGAGGAAAAAGATTCCCATGAGTCCTGACTTCATGGATATGTGCTTAAAGGCCAAATCTTGTCTTGAGCTTGAAAAAAAAGAGCAAGAGCAAACAAGTGTAAAACATCTACTTCAAAATCTTCAAGTTCTAATTTTCAAAAGTCTGTTAAGTTTACATGGGAACAGAAAGAGAAATGAATCGCTAATGATAATCTTAATTCCTCTGTTTCAGTGAAGGCCCATGAATTTGAAAAATCAAATGAAGCATTTTAGCATTCAAATTGTCTTCATAATTGCAAATGTCTCTCTCTGTTACTTCAATTGAACTAGCACTTCTCTGGCCCTCATTGCATTATCTTTGGGTCAACCAAAAGAAATTTCCATAAGACCAGAAAAGACAAATTCCCAAGGCCAAGACTGGCAAACCAGCTGCGATTGGAAAACCAGCTTCTCAAACAGAAACTGCCAAAAGGAAGAAAGAAGTCCCAAAGCTTAACATTAAAGGACCCATTATGAAATGGGTACCTAAAAATCTCTAATTTGTTTTGCAGAAACAACATGTGTACATCTGGTACCTTGACTATGGATGTTCAAGGCACATGACTGGAAACAAAGAGTTGTTCTCCTCATTCAAATACAAAACGAGAAGAAGTGTGACCTTTGGTGATAATAAGCAAGGACAAATCAAGGGATATGGGATGTTAAAAGAAGGTAATGTTTTTGCTTCAAAGGTTGCTTATGTGTCTAGGCTAAAGCATAATCTGCTCAGCATAAGTCAACTCTGTGATTCTGGTTACAATGTCAACTTAAAAAAGAAGTCTTGCACATTGTTAAAAGAATATGGTCAAGAGATGCTTAGAGCCGATCGAAAAGGTAATCTTTATCTAATGAACTTCACACCCAAAGATGGTGTAGAGATGCTCTGTCTCATATATCGAAAGAGTGAATACGCATGACCCTGGCATCAAAAGCTGTCTCATCTCAATTTTTTAAATCTTGAAAAGCTTGTCAAAAATAATTTGGTTATCGGACTATCAAGTGTGAAGATTGAGAAAGATCATCTTTGTCCTGCATGATGGGAAAACTCAAAAGAGCCTCTCACAAGACAAAGATTGATGTTTCGTGCAATAGATCTCTGCATATGCTTCATGTGGACCTTTGTGGTCCTATATTTGTTCAAAGCATGTCTGGTAAGAAGTATATCCTTGTGCTAATTGATGAATACTCACGATAGAGTTGATTAAGTTTGTAAAGCATAAATTAGATGTATTGGAGGTGTTGATCAAGCTAATGACGAAGATTCAAGTACTCTTGCAGTGCAAAGTTCAAAAATTGAGGAGTGACAATGGTACAAAATTCAAGAACTCTAAAATTGAAGAGTACCTTGCCAAAGAGAAATCTCCCAAAACTTCTTTGCAGCTCGAACCCCACAACAAAATGGTGTTGTGGAAAGGAGAAATCGAACTCTGGTTGAAGCTGCTCGAACAATTCTCGCAGCCTCTAGTCTTCCAACCCATTTCTGGGCCGAATTAGTCTCGACCGCATGCTTCACACAGAATAGATCAATAGTGGTCAAGAGACATCTGAAGACATCTTATGAACTTATCAACCAAAGAAATCCTAACATAAAATTCTTACACATCTTTGTTTGTAGGTGTTTTATCCTCAATGATCGTGATCAACTTGGTAAATTTGACAAGAAGGCAGATGAAGGCAAATTTCTTGGATACTTTGTACATTCCAAAGCCTGCAGAGCCTTCAATCTCAGAACCAAGACGGTCATGGAGAGCATCAACGTCTCGTTCGACGATAAAGAGCAAATGACTTCAGAGTACTCCATCTCTCAACTCAAGCTAAACCAAGTGACTTCTGATTTCCTCTTGAAGTCAAGGGAATTAGAACTCGAGGAGCTATTCCAAGACTTCTTTGGTGATGAAGTCATCTTTGGTGTGCAACCAGAGATGCCTCTGTACGCGTTCAAGAAAAGCCACAACCTTTAGGTACATCTATCTCTAGTCCTTTTAACGCATCTTCTCCTTCTTGTGATCATGCAGATCCAGAACCAGATCCAAGCAGCTCTGTACCAGAGCCCGTGTTTTAGAACCAGAGAATAACATCTTTGTATCCGAACCTGGACCTTCTGTACCACTGCCCTAGGAGGAGCCTGTAGAGACATCATCACCAACAAGGGACTTAATGCAAAACATTCCAATTGAGCAAGATTTTCGAACTCCTCCAACTCCACATCCTCCTATGACAAGATGGACAAAAGACCATCTCTCACACCAAATTATTGGTAATTCTTCCCAAAGCGTAAAGACCAGAGCTATCATTGCAAACGAATGTTAGTATTTAAAAAGTGCAAGTAAAAAGCTCTTGTCCAAGCCAAGAGGACTTGCTATCTAGAAGCAGCCAGGAACCAGAGCTCGGATACAGAGAAGATCAAGATTGAAGTCGCACGCCAATGACGCTAAGTACTCGGGATGCAAAGCCCGAGTCCTGGACACAGAGCCTCTGCATAGTACATGCAAAGCCTCTGGGTCTCAACTTTGACCGTCTACATAATGGTTCCTTGGCCAGTCTCTATTATACAAGTCATCCTGTCTCCTTGCAACACGTGTGCATAAACGGTTACTACACTTATTGCACGTGGAGACAGCAGACTAGTGGACACGTTGACCTTACAAAGATGTCTTTTCTGGAAGATGCCTTTTTCAGAAACGCCTATAAATAGGTAATTCCTCTAAGGTATTCCTCACCAATTGAAGACCTCCTCCTATCTTCGAATTTTGTTGAAGACATTTTGCTTCCTGGGTCAATACAAATAGTTATGAATCTTTTACAAGTAAAAATCCTAACTTTTTCTATTCCAAAATATAAGCTATATATACCGGACTCCCAACTATAAAAATATTATGAAGATACTTAATTGGATACTAAGAGACTTGATACAAATTGTGAACATATGAATCTTTAAGCTTTAATTGACCAACAAGAAATTCTTTCAAATTTCCTTGATCGAATGAAAATTCTTAAAGATAAAAGAGTTGGCATCACAATCTACAGAGAGGATCCAATGAATTACATTCAAAACATAAAGCTTAAGGTTCAGATGTTACAATATTAGGATTATATCTGATGGAAGTCAAACAAGAATTCTTTTTCCCAAGTGTTTAATCAGATACTATAACTATTATTTACAAATCCGATAGTTAAGACCAACACAATGAAATGCATAGATTGATAATATGATTATGGTTGAAAAATCAAATGACAAAAATAGACAGCAGTAGATGGAAACTCCAGTACTAACCAAAACCATCTGGGAACATGACATTGACATTATTGTTTCCTAAAGAAAACTAAAAATTTCTTATTATAAGTAGGGTAGCACATTGACATCTACCTGCCTTCCCTGTGGTTTTCAATAAAAACAACACAACCACAGGACCAAGTGTCTCCACCAGCATTCATGACTTCAACAACCAAAACAAAACACTACGATATACAATTTACACTTTTATACCAGACCAACAAAATACAACTCAATCTTCATAGGACTAGTTGTCCTGGACCTTTTCTGGAGGATCTTGAAGGAGGCCTGCTCATCTCTCCCCCACCCGAACCTCCCCTCACTTCTTCCGCTTTTTCCACATCCTTCACCTCCTGCACACACTTGTAATGTTTTTTCTTTAAATAAAAATAAGTCGGTTCCTGTTCTTAAACAAAGGGTGTGCATACGTTGGTTCCGAACTAACCACCACTGGCTAAACAAATTAACAGAAAATTCAGTTCTTGGTTAGGTCCAGTCCAGAAAGGGTTCAAACCTTTCTTACTTCTTTACAGAAGATCTCAAAAGTGTGCATGTATATACACTTCTGAGGTTCATTATATGATATTTTAAAGCTGAGAGAATAATAAAAAAAATTGTATTATCAACTTCAAAAATAGAAAATTCAGACAACATCAAGAAAATCGAAAACAAATCAACCTATTCGGTTCCAGTTCACAGTTCTAGTTTTCCAATTTTAGTCCCTCAGGGCGCGTTTGATAGGTGGACAAATTGGACTGTATGGGCAAGAGTGAGGTGGTTAGGTGAAAGAATTGTGGACGGTTTTGGGGTTTTAATTTCATATTGGTAGTTTAGTAATTAACCAATCTTGTTCCATCCCATCTTCCTAATTCTTATTCCACTTATTTTGGTGGGACAGGTCAGAAAGATGCATTTTTGTACCCACTCAATCCTGTTGAGTCCCAGTGAATAACAAGTTTCTGTTCTGTCCTATCATGCGTACCAAACTCACCCGAAAGTGTTACTGGGTAGGTCCTTGCTAAGGCTCTTACCGGGTAAGTTTCTTGGTCCTTGCCATGCTCACCCGGAAGGTAAGAGCTTACCAGGTAAGCATTCACTGACTAAGAGTCTCTCCCTCACTTACCGGGTAAGATTCTCAGTCCTTGCTACAGCTCTTACCAGGTAAGTTTCTTGGTCCTTGTCATGATCACCCTGAAGGTAAGTGACACCCGATAGGAATTAACCTGGTAAACGGCCCCTTAGTTTTGACACAAACATATTTTTCTACTTTAGATGCTACCTGAATTTGACTCTTCCTATGAACTACCATTTCATGCATGTCTAATTGCCCACAATGATGTTCCAAAAGAATACTGATAGGCTTGTAAGATTAATAAGTAGAATAAGTAGTATTATGAAGACAAAAGAGTAAAATGATATGCCCATGCGAGAAACTAAGGGGAATCTTAGTAAACATTTCAATGTGCTAATGGGAGGGCATGCTTTTGCCACCCTACAACTTCTAGCTTTACAATATTAGACACATGTATGACTTCCAAAATCCAAGTAAAAAAGAAGAAAGACAAACCTTTGAGGATATGGAACTGTTGCGTAACCGTGCTTGCGATTTTGAATGCATGCGATGCTGCTGTTGCATCTGTCCAAATTGTTGCAGCGAAGATGCAAAGTTTATTCCATTATGCACGTTATGAGAATCTTCATTCATGCTACCATCTTCCGAGAAATGTATCCCTGTTGACATGTAACCAGTATGTGCAGAAGGGTTCCCTGATGATGTACGTCTGATTTGCTCCTTGTTGAAGGAATACGAGGGTACTGTCTTCAAACGAGTCCTTAAGATCTTAAATGCAGCACTTTGCTGTAAATACATGAAAATGAAGGCTGAATATATAAACATCAGTAGCCCCAAACTCGTGTTCACTGTTAAAATTAGCTCCAAAATTACAATTTTAAACTGATCATACGGGAATTTAAGTGGTATTTGGGAACCTTAATTGGTATGTGCAAACCAACAAAGAAAACTTGGTTTAACCGAAAGCTGACAGAAATGATCTTTCTAATTGAAATTTTGATGAGAATCCTAATATTATAGCCCAACATGTCCCAAGCCCAAGAGTGTTTCAAGTCTACTCTAGAAGGGCGGGCAAATCAGGAAAGTGGCTAATAAAAATTTCTGTTAAGAGGAGTGAGAAGAGAATAAAGGGCGTGGGGAGTGAGTGCATGGTGGTATGGAGAATTATCTTTTTTGATTGGCTCTTAGCTTGGTAGCTTAGAGAGAGGGATTTTCCCTGGATTACTTGTGGTTGTTTTCTATGTTTTACTCTGCTAATTCAATCAAATCTTCCTTCGTCCTATTCTCTATTCTCTGTTAGTTAAATTGTTTCTATCCAATTATCTCATCTCTATCATTGGTCCGACCTGCCACGACCTGCCGTTTCTTTTATCATGGTTCAACCTGCAATAGGAACACGTTCTCAAACTGCTCGTTTCGATCAACACGACGAGCAGATCGCTAAAATTCAGTCGGATATCCTCGAAATCAAGGCATCAATGGATTCTGAACGTATTGAATCGGCGGAATTCCGTAAAGTTATGTTGGAGTGGGTGAAGCAACAGGATAAAAAAACCGATTTCGGACACTGGGGACGTTTCTCGAGTCGATGTGAACACCCCTCCACCTTTCAACCCGAATGGTATAGATTTCATGCGTTTCATGACGGGGAACACCAAACAAACAGGGTTTGGAGGAGGATCGCAGGATGGACTACCATGGGCTATGAAAAAGATCAAATTACCGGAATTCTGTGTATTCGATCCTCCGGGGTGGATTCAAAAAGCCAACCTCTACTTCGAAATTAATGATACTTCTTCTAACTTACGTATTCAATTGGCACAATTAAGTATGACGGGTGTAGCCCAACACTGGTTCACGATCGTTAATCAGATTTATGATTCGATTTCGTGGGAACAGTTTCACGCTGAGCTGCTCCAACGTTTTAGTGGTTTGGAAATTCAAAATCCCTATGAATAATTATCAACGATCAAACAATGGGCATCGATTTATGATTATATCGATGACTTTGAGTATTTGTTATTGTTGGTTCCCAAACTACCGCAATCGCAGTCGTTAGGGTATTTTATTGTTGGATTGAAAGATGAGGTCAAGCGTTGGATTCAATTACATCATCCTCAATCACGATTAGATGCTATGTATCTAACCAAGGATATCGAAGGAATGCTTCATCCTACGTCGACGAATCTATCTTTGTCCCGATTTCATTATCAACATGGGCCTGGAACTGGATTCTCAAAAGAAATTAGGCCCAATTTGGGGGGTCGTTTGGACCAAATCAGGCCCAATTTGCTTTCCTCGTCCGACAAAAACCCTGCTATGGGGCGACCGCAGAACAATCGCTCCTCTTCTCTTCCGCGTACTCAGGGTACGACTTCGACCGAGTTTGGTCAGTTGTTTAATAGAAATCGGGGCTTCAAATCTCTCACACGAACAGAGTGGGAGGATCGTAGGAAGAAGGGGTTGTGTTTTCGGTGTGGCCAACAGTTTGGGCTAGCGCATAAGTGTTCGGAGGGTCAACTTCGAGTTTTATCATTGGGCGACGATGAATCAGGCGACAAGGATGGGTTGATTACCAACCTCGAAGCTGACATAAATTCGGCATCCCCACCTGAGGATGCAAATTCCGCAAGTTTGTGTTTGGCACTTGAATTTCTCGGGGATTCGGCTGAGTATGCTTCAGGGGTAAAACCCTTAAATTCGAGGGCGCCATAACGAATATTCCAGTAATAATTTTGGTTGATAGTGGGGCTACCCACAACTTTGTCTCTCGAAAGTTAGTAAAGTCTCTTGGACTGTCTGTGGAGTTTTTTGCCGGAATCAATATTCAATTGGGGGACGGCCATCGAAGTCACGTCAATCAGCGATGCCCATTGCTGAAAATTAGAGTGGGACCGTGTGAGTTTGTAATAGCAGCCTTGGTTTTTGACATGGGGCATTTGGATTTGGTTCTCGGCATAGAATGGTTAAAAACCTTGGGGGATGTGATCCATAATTGGGAAAGATCGTCGATGAGGTTTGTTTTTCAAGGCGTCTCGGTTCTTCTCCAAGGATTGACTAAGTCGGAACGTTCCCAAGCTTCCTTGCAATCATGGTTGTGCTTACCGACCTCGAAGGCTTCATCATGTCAACTATAGGCCCTGTCAAAGAAGAGTTTACTCCAATACAGCACCAACAATCACTCGTCTTAATCGAACGATTTAGTGAAGTATTTCGTGAACCATCAGGGTTGCCTCCTTCACAGCCACATGATCATTCCATCTCCTTGGTTTCCCCACACGAACCAATATGTGTTCGACCTTACAGATATCCCCATATTCAGAAATCCGAGATCGAAAGGCAAGTTCAAGAGCTATTAAAACTGGGAATGATTCGGCCGAGTAAGAGTCCTTTTTCGAGTCCAGTCATCCTTGTCCTTAAGAAGGACAACTCTTGGCGTATGTGTGTCAATTATAGAGCCCTTAACAAGACGACTATTCCAGATAAATTCTCAATTCCAGTGGTTGAGGAACTCATTGATGAGCTCAAGGGAGCCAAATTCTTCTCCAAATTGGATTTGAAATCCGGCTACAATCAAATCCGAATGGAGCTGATGAGTATTGAGAAGACGGCCTTCCGAACGCATGACGACCACTATGAATATCTTGTGATGCCTTTTGGGCTCTCAAATGCCCCGACAACCTTTCAAGCGGTTATGAACGATGTCTTTAGACCATTATTACTAAAAACGATAGTGGTTTTTTTCGATGACATACTCATTTACAGTCCCTCGTGGAATCAACATATGGTGGATTTAGAAATTGCCTTGAAATTCTTATGGAAAAACCATTTTGTGGCCAATCAGAAGAAATGTTCATTTGGCCAAACTTCCGTAGAATACTTAGGCCACATTATTAATGGCAAAGGTGTAGCTATGGATCCTAAAAAATTTGAAGTGGTTTTGGATTGGTCGGTCCCAAGACACATTAAAGGGTTACGGGGATTCTTGGGTCTCACAGGCTATTATCGGAAATTCATAAGGCACTACGGAAGTATTGTGAGGCCAGTCACGGATTTGATAACTAAGGATGCGTTTGGGTGGAGTGATGAAGCACAACAAGCTTTTGTTTCTTTAAAGGAAGCAATGGTGATTGCACCTCTTTTGGCTCTGTCGGACTTCCGGTTACCATTTGTGGTTGAATGTGATGCGTCTGGACGCGGAATAGGAGTCGTCTTAATGCAACAAAACAAGCCGTTGGCTTATTTCAGCAAGGCTCTAGCCTCTTAGCGACTGAAATTTGGCAAAATCGGCATATGAAAGAGAAATAATGGTGTTGGTATTAGTTGTTCAACATTGGCGATCATATTTGTTGGGAACACGATTCGTGGTCTACACAGATCAAAAAAATTTGTTACAACAAAGAATTAAGACGAATCAACAAAATTGGGTGGCCAAGTTATTAGGGTACGATTTTGACAATTGTTACAAGCCAGGACGCAAAAATCGAGCGGCGGATGCTTTATCTCGAAAAGCCATTGATGGGGAACTTCATCCTGTGGTGTCGACACCAATTTGGTTACAAGGATCGCAGCTTTTGGACGAAATCCGTGTGGACACGGGAATTCAGAAATTGTTGGCGGAGTGTGAGGCTGACCACTCGCGTCACCCAGGGTTCTGCTCTTATCATGTTATTGCTGAAAAGAAAAACCGAATTCCTCTATTTGATGTCGATTCACCCACATTGAAACCATATAGACAAATGTCGGTGGCTCAACGTATTCATCAGAAGTTGGCGGCATGATTTTTTGGTCCATTCAAGGTACTAGAAAGGATTGGGCATGTGGCTTATAAGCTGGAACTGCCACTGTCATAAAAAATACACCCTGTTTTTCACGTGTCTTTGTTAAAGAAGGTTGTTCGAATGCCTACAGAAAAGTGTTACCTCCTGAGTTGGAGATAGGGACAACCGATATGTTAGTTCCGGCAGTTATTTTGGCTTTCGCATGATTACGGAGCATAATGAGCAAGTTCTTCAGTGGCTGATCCATTGGAAGGGTTGTCCAGTAGAGGAGGCAACATGGGAAGATGCAACAAGTATTCAGATCCAGTTTCCAGAAGCAAGTCTTGAGGACAAGACTTTTTCTGAAGGAGAGAGTAATGATGAGAATCCTAATATTTTAGCCCAACATGTCCCAAGCCCAAGAGTGTTTCAAGTCTACTCTAGAAGGGCCAAAGGAGCAAATCAGGAAAAAGTGGCTAATTTTTCTGTTAGATGAGTGAGAAGAGAATAAAGGGCGTGGGGAGTGAGTGCATGGGGGTATGGAGAATTATCTTTTTTGATTGGCTCTTAGCTTGGTAGCTTAGAGAGAGGGATTTTCCCTGAATTACTTGTGGCTGTTTTCTATGTTTTACCTGCTAATTCAATCAAATCTTACTTCGTCCTATTCTCTGTTAGTTAAATTGTTTCTATCCAATTATCTCATCTCTATCAAATTTGCTCTTAAATGATGGAACATATAGCAACTTCCATTTAAATCCAACCATTGATTCAGTGCATTAAGATGCAGGTTTCTTGGACATGAATGGCGAGTAAAGAGTAGGATTTATCTTGTTTAAGCTCTACAGTATGCTTTCTATCTATAAAAGGGGCATCTTTCTAGCAATGATCTAGACTGACAACTACCACATACATGATTCAGTTATCTTTGTTTCCTCTTGTCCTGTCTACAAAGACCCACAGTCATTCATCCTTCACATTTTTGTATTCATGTACTTATCCGGAAAAGGAAGGCAAATCATTTCAACAATACAAACCTGAGGAAGTAACATCAGAAGACCATAGAGGGATTTTAACAACCATATATATCTTCCAGGTTCAAGAAGCTGCATGTAAGATAGAAAAGCTTAAATAGTCGGGGAATGAAAAAATACAAACAAGGATGAAAAAAGAGCTGAGGAACCAAGTCTAAACTTTGAGAAAGTGAACTTTAAACTTTGTTTCTAACTAAAGTTCCACTTTTAACATGACAGAAATGAACAGCGACCAAAGTACCTGCAGCCTAAGGTAAGCAAAAATGGGAGTTTCTAATAGGTGTATCAATTTGTCCAGTTGAACCAAGAATCTGACGTTAATATCCTCCTCGGTTAGAGATTGAATGACAGAACTTGCATGCTGGTAAGCCTATGACATGCCAAAAAGAACGCGAGAAGAGTATTAGACTTAATATGAGGATAATGTAATCTCCTGATTTTGAGCTGCCTTTGTGTGAAAGATTTGAGAAAGCAAGAGCATAAGAGAGAGGTTACAGCAATATTTAGATAGGCATCGCACAACAAAGTATTTAGGCCTTGCCTGTGCTAATAAGCAGAGACTTATTATGGCCATCGATGAATGGCTCCATGAGGCATATAGCGAAAGAAAGAAGTCTTTTCCAGCAGCATCAACTAGTGACAGCTTTAAAAGATCTCGTAGGTCAGACAACTCAGAAGAAGTAAGCAAGATCAAATTTAGAGCCTGAAATACAATGAAAAACAAAACATGGTTAAGTCAAAGATCTTACAAGCTGCATATGAATCACTATTCTTGATAAAGTTAGAATTCTGTAATGACCCGTAACAGGGCAATTTAAAGTTCAAATGCTCTGGTTACTACGATATATCAATTTCGATACCCCTGGCATTGTATAAAGAATATAATAGGAAAATACCTGAACCATAGTAGATGCAAAATCCAGGTCTGCTTCCCCCTCGAGAATCTTGGAGAGCTCCCGGTAAACTCTTTCAGCATCTAAAAGTACACAAAGTTGGCGAATAATCAAAGCACCACGCCTGCAGGGGCAAACAAGAAAAGATCGACAAAGAAATCCATCAAAATAAGAAAAGGGCGGTTGAAAAAGAATATTAAGAAAAATAAGAATAGAGATCACCTTTCCAGGAGAGCATGATCCATCCGGAACTTATGAACTAAGAAAACAACAAGCTGGCGGAAGTTATATTGGTCTTCCGCTATGGCTGCATGCACCTCCAGCACCAGGAGCACTACCTACGAAGGCACCATAAACAATTAAAGCATATATAAGATAACCTCCATCAGAACTGATAAACAACTACTCCCTCCTTTCGTTAAAGATTGCAGCATTTGACATGACACATGGTTTAAGCAAAATGTTTAACCATTTGGCAAATATTAAGAGAAACAAATCTATCATGTGGATCCAAGAGAATGCTATCGATTTATCTGTAATGACGATAATGGAAAAATAGGTAATTTTAGATTGGAATCATATGGGATGGAGGAAGTTAGACAAGGTAACATTCCTGCAGCCTGATAAAGTGAGTCTAAGCAATAAGAAATTGGTAGAAGTTCACTAACCCATGGCCATGCCATAGATAGATATATTCAATATATACTCAGACATAGAGGTCCCATGCTGATAGAGATTAAGGGCACATGAGATAAAAGGGCATATAATTATGCACGCACCTACATCTATTTTATTTCTTCCAAAGAGATTTCAATCCCAGCTGTCAGTTTGGGAAGACAATAAATGTCTCCAGTAAAGAAAGACCTTTAGAAGAACCATCAGGCCTCACTCTTAACCTTCATAGCTCATAGACCAAAAGGTGGTATTACAGCCAAATTGAGGATTTAAATTCTTGATAAGCTACTCAATTGCCCATATCCAAAAGAGGATGCATGAAAAGGAAGACCCAATAATGATGCTTGCACCCTGTTTTTATGCAAGTACTTCAAAGGTCAAATCCGATTGAAATTCTCAGAAGCCTATGACTTGAATAGCAATCTCCCTGAAGGGTTACTGCTGGTACAACATAACTACACAGCTTTGGACCAACTATCATAAAAATGCAACATCGCTGAATTTTCATGAATCATGATGAACCAAACCACAGTCTGATTTTTTGACGAAGGACACCATATGTTCTAAAAATTACGCTATGAAAAAACAACGGGAAATTGGAAAAAGAGAACAGAAGAATTGCTTAATTGCAGAACAGAACATACCCCACTCCCCCTACCCACCCCTCTTCCTGGGGAGAATTGATAAAAAATAATCGTAGACAACTTTTTTTTTGGGGGGGNGTTACACAAGTAGATGTGATGCAAGAAGATGAAACAAAAACCGGTTACAAAGCCAGAGAAAAGATTACCTGATCTGAGGGATCTGATAGTGACTTCAGAAGTGTTTCAAAAATATCATGCAGAAAAGACAGGACCTGTTAAACACATGAGAGGTCACAAATGAACCTGTTTTCTTATTTATTAAGATATCAATCATCAATATGTTGCAAGACCAGAAAACACATTAATCTAATGCAAATCAGAACAGTATCGTTTATAATATTGACAAAGTAGGACCAGAAGTCCATCCTGGAAATCAATATGCCAATATAGACGCAAAACAGTATTTAGGGTTTCCTTTTTCTTGGTTGTGGCCAATACTAAACAGATCTGCTTTCAACTTGCAGATATAATTCAATCTAATTTAAGGACAAGGAATCAAAAAATGTTCAAAAAGTAAGTGCCAAGCAAAAGATACAAAACAATGCCATGTTTAGCAAGACGAGCATTGAGGTCAGGAAGAAGCCTAACATACATGAAAAACAATGCTATTTTATCCATTTAACATCTCGATATATCCATTTTGTCTTGTATGGCAATGAAATAATGGATATGTGACTGTGAGGATCCTAGAGTAGAGATGAAACCAAACAAACCCAGTAAATCCCACACAGATGTATGGTTTTTTTTTTTTTGGGGGGGGGGGGGGGGGGGGGAATGCACACAGACCATTCCCCTGGCTGCTTCTGTCAAGGTCCTAGAATAATGTAAGGACTCAAAATTCCAAACCAATTAGATACTATCCAAGTACGGAGATTTCTGTAAGACAGAAAAAATAAACAGAAAAGCTTTCTACACAAAATACTACATAGCATGAGTGTGTCCAAACTTTGAACACAATAGCTAACAGCCAAAACCTCTAACTCCCCCCTCTTGCAAAAGGTCACTTCAGCTTAAGACATGTATGTTGAGTCCTTGAGAAAAAACTCTTGACAATAAACTAAAAGAAAATAAAATTAGAAAATCTAAAGCAATATGGTAACAGTCATAGGAATAAACAGGTTCATTTACTGATAATCCATGGTTACCTCTGAACGGTGTCTATTCAAAAGGGATGAAATCCAATGCAATGACTCAATCCGAGTAGCCTCATGCTCACTAGATAACTGCCTGATAGATTGAGGAAAAATTATATTCAAGAACATATTTGCAGCACAAAAACTCTGGTATAAGTCTTTTAAACCCCATGCAAATTATTGTAACTTTAGTGCTAAGCTGGACCTTCTTGCAATTGAGAGGATTGCTCCAACATCAAATCCTTCAGCAGGCTCAGCCTTGATTGCACGGAGCTCTTCATTAGTTTCACGAGCTACCTGAAAGTCACAACTCAGTATATCAAACAAATATACAGCATATCATGTTGAGTGTGATGATGATGGCGGACTAAAAAACTAAGGAGGTTTTCCTCTTCCTCAGAAGCTACCTCTTAGCCGGAAGTTTGCTTGATAAATAGGTAAACGTTTGATGAACAGAAGAATGCCAAGAGCTCATTCTTAGCATGTTCTAACCTACTTCTTAGGAATTCAAAAAAAACTACTGGCATGCACCCTTGTGTCTTCCAACAAAGACTGCAGAAAGAAAATACAAACTTACAACTCGTATTTTCTCTTCTTTGTCTGCTATGCAAGGCAAGATAGCTCCCAATATATCAGCATAATAGGGTACAAGCTGGTCTCCGCCAAGTTTTACAAACTCGTTTATCTGCACAAACAGTTGTCTAATTAACACCTAAACAAGCATAGAGCCCAAATAACTCCAAAAATCACATAAAAAGATCAACTACAAGAAAATTATGCAATGGTCATATTGAGACAGTATCCTTACCCATGTTATCGCTGTCCAACGAGTAAATTCATCAGGGGAAGCTGCTCTCTGTACAAGTATTTCAGCCATGCGACCATAGTCTACAGACTTCAAGAGTAGGACTGCTAGAGTCAGAAATTTACAAATAAACAATGAAGACTGCTAGTGTAATATACATGTGAGAGTTAACTAGTTGCTTACCAGTGAGATGCAGTGGGATGCAAGACTATAGTAAAAGGAGCATGGAAAATTAATGCAATTTCTCATTAAATAAGAAAATTTCGAAATTTATGTTTGAATAAGATAGAAATTACAAGTGGTGATTCAACATGCCGTGCTAATTTCAAGACCCGGTAAAAAAACCAATAAAAATATATTGATATTGTGTCAAATTAAGGATCATAATTTATTTTTCCCGGTCTAGTTTGTTTAACTCAAAAACTATTACAATTTAAATATTTAGTTTAAAAATAAAGATATAATTCGTTTTGGTTTTAATGGAGCATCTTTTTATGTGGATAAAGATAGTGATGATATCTTTTATCATAATAGTAGGGGTCAATGATTATCTTGTATTTGAACATTTTTATTAGTTCGTTAATAGTTAGTTTTATGGACTTCAAATATCTTTAAAAGTGTAAGGATGCAATAATTACTTGTAAACTTGAATTTTATAGGACTACGCATTACTAAGCATACATAATGCTTTATAAGTTGTTTTTACCTAAATGCTTTATAATATAGTATAGACGATGATAAAGTTTCTAGTATAAAACCAGCAATTTCATCATTGAGTACACATAGTGGCACCAACTACCTGTCAAAACATTTGTTTGAATGCAAAGAGCATTGACAATACAGTAAATAGTACAATATCAGACAAAAGATTGCAGATTTCCTGCAAAAGAAGTCCTACCGGGGAGTTCTTAATCTCTTGAAGAAACTCTGAAAGTGCTGAATCAGCTTGTTGCCGGATCTCATGGCTGGAATCACTTAACATATTAAATAAACCTGGGAATATCACCATGTTAGTCAAGTCCATAAAGGTCTGTGACAAAGAACACATGAATTGAAAGATAACAGCCTATTAACTTTAAAATGAAACCTTTTACCATCAAGAAAATCAGGAAGAAAGCCCAGCATATCTATGTCTGGAACACTGTCTAATACCGTGATCCATCCCACCAAAAACTGGCGAACGTAAGGATTCAACACGTTCATACGCTCTCTCAACAATGGTATGAATTCCTCAATGCTGATAAAACAGAGCAGAAAAATAAATAAATTTTACATTCAAATTTAAAGTAGAACCATCAGCTATAGGACCCAAAAAAAACCCAGTATAGTCACACCTGAATTGATCACTCTCTGTCACGATGTCCTGTTTCCCAACAAGTAAGACAGAAATTCAGTAATCTGCTACACATAGGACATGGCCAACAGCTATAACATAGATGAGGCCACTTACCTTCACAAGTCTATCTAAAAGATGGGCAGCACTTTGTACATTGGGATCTGAGTCTGCTGAAAGCTTACATAACGCATCAAATATCTTGTTAAAGTGAAAAATGAACTCTCCTCTCACCACCTGCAAAAGGAATGAGGTAAGCCCACAATGTATTGCATCAAGAAGACTCGAGCCTGAATTCATTCTCACCTTTGCAATGTTGTATAAAGCTTCACAAGCATAATAGCGAACTCTGCTATCTTGATCGGAAAAAGAGTTTATCACTGGTGGTAGAATTTGCTGGAAGGTTGTATGAGAAAAAGAGGAGAGTTCAAAACCAGTAAAATTATGCAATGTTCGCATCAATTGATCACCTTTCCGTAGAAAATAGACGTAACTAGAGTATGTTATATGGAAAACAATGAATTCTAGCATCAAGTTACATGAAATATGCTTTTTGCATAAGCAGCTCCATCTTTTGTTTGTGAAAAACAAATTGCATTGATATGGATAACAAACAGATGCAAAGTGCAATCATGATACCTTAAAAGTCTTGAAAGAAAAAGGCTAGAATGCAACGACAATTGAAGAGAAAAAAACTGATTCACTCAACAATATGAACACTACAAACTTTGAAACGCCACAAGTACTTGAAAACGGCCTTCAAAACCAAGGACATTTGGCTTCCCAATTTACTGTTGTTGTTGCTTGACAATCGCAGGTAATTGATGGATGATGTCCAAGTTGGAACCAACTCTAAAAACCCCAAGAAAATTGAAAGAGCTATGTCCAAGTCCCAACAGATAATCAGTAAAGCACAACCGCCACCCAAAAATGGGTATCTTAATCAGTCAATGATAGGACAAAAACCAAAGAAAACTTAATTTCCCGTCCTAAGAGACAGAAATGGATGGCGATATAAGCTTCATTGGTGTGGTCGAGACAATCAGCTAAATCTGAGCATGGGGAATAATTGGCATTGGTGGAAGGACGGATAATGAGACAGCAGAGTGTCGATGGGCAAAACACAGATGCAAACATAACATATAGAGCCATTCTGGAGAAGAAATCGGAGATGACTTCTTGGCAATGACACATTTCTTTCTCTGTTGAATAAAGCAAGACGGTCGACAGAAATGAAGGCCCCATAATGAATCCAGATTTCTCTCACATTGCACAAATAGAGAGAAAACCAAGAGAAACCAAGCCATAGGCTACCCTTGGAGTGCAGAACCACGCACTTGAAAACACCACAAATCAAATGATGAGACAAACAAAAATATATCTTCACGAGTAATATGGTTAACTAAGATTTCACGGGGGTGGAATTTTTTCCCACTAGGAGGTCCGTCAATTAGTAAAATTTTATGGTAATATACACATATACATATATATACCTTTTTTGAGCGTGTGTATATATACTTCTGTATGTGTCCCTGTGTATATATATTTATGGCTTTGTGCATGTATATATACACACATTTTCATGCCAACCTCAGTTTCTACTATGACATTAGAAAGACATTGGGACTTGGCTATAAGCCTATAGCTAATGACTGAAAACATCATCAAATAAAACTTGTTGAAAGCTTGCATTGCTTTCAACATAGCCGCATCTCTTTTCGGAAGACGGTTGAGTCCCCCTTATTAAGTTTTATTTATATAACATAGTGGATTTCTTTCCTCTGCAGTACCTCGACGTGACATGAGCGTGAAAGGGATTATGTCCTTGAGAGCTATTAGCTGACTATTATCGAGGTCGAATAATGAAGAACGTAGCTTGTGCCATATGTAATTATATGATCACAGGACTCCCAGCACCTTGACGACCACATAACAAGATGGCATAGTTGTCATAAGTGTGGTAGGTCGTCAGCGCACAACATGCCGTTTAAGGATTTTCTGAAAGAAGGTGCACATTTTAGTCACTTCAGGGTTACTTAACAAAGCCTTCTTTAGAAGCAGTTCCTTGATGTACAGTCCTACCAGATATTTTCACCCTACATATTAACTACTGATTTTCTCCTTCATATGCTTAGATCTGACCTATTTTCTAAAGGTTTATCTCCCTTAATGGTGTAAAGAGAAAACAAGGGAAATGAAAAGCAGCAGCCAAGAGGTTAAACCATAGCATACAGGTACTGTTTCAACCACGAGCAACTAGCCCCATTACTCACGTTCATGAGATTGATGAAGATCTAGCTTATATTTTTAATCCACCTTGTATCAATACTTATGTTAAAATTCTGATGAATTTACAACTTTGATATCTAAAAGGTTAAGTCATAGAAATAAACTTTACTAATGTCTAAACAAGCATGGGTTTCACTTGAAATGGTAAAAGCATCTGATGCGTGCTTCAGAATAACACCCAAGCCCTTGGTCATCTCTAAGCTTAGAATGTACCTTGTACATTAACAACTATGAGAAATAGGAAGTCAATCGTGTTTGGTATAGTTACCAAGGAAGGCTTTTCATGTAGCTTACAGCTGAAACAAGTGGGCAGCAATATTAGAAATCCCATAAAAGGTGGTGGACAGATGTGTCAAAGGTGTAAACATTAATGTGTCTGATATAGATATGATTATACAACCCCCTTTAGAAGGTGGAGGGTGGATGTTTCAAGGCTCAAAACATTAATTTGCCTGTTACAACTTACAATACAGATAGAATTAGACAAACCCCTTGTTTTGGTACTTGATTTATGAGAATGAAAACAAAATTAATCATCTTCATCTCGAACTTCAGAAATATAAAAGAAATGATCCATATTCATTTTTATGATAAAAACCCAAAAAGAATCAAAAACCAGTAATCTAACAAAAACAAACAAATCATGTTTAAGAAGTCCAAGAAGAGTCCGAAATGACTTTGGATCCCTCAAATTTTATTTTCAAAAACCAAGTTTTATTTTCAATCTTGATTGAATCATGCCCTTTGTGTTCTTTCATATTACCCAAAACCTGGCAGGTGCAATAACCCAGACCAAGCTGGCAATTGCTACTAGATTCAAAAGGTTCACATGCGATGAAATACGGAAGGCATCTCACAGTTTCACACAAGAGATCATGAGAGATAGTGGTGCTATGAGTATCTTGTACAAGTGCATACCACCTGATACCCAAGTTTTCGCATTTATGCAGCTCCATAGGTCTCGAGACATCATGGCACAAAGTGATTTTGGAACCCTCAATTTTTATTTTCTAAGCCAAGTTTTAATTTAACTTCAATTTTAAAACCCACGCTTTTCAATTTCAATTTTGGTTTTTATTTGTTGGTTTTTAATTTATTTTTTGTTTTTCTCCTCGATCTTGAAGATGAAATGATGAAGTTTTTCTTTTTGTTTTTACTGTTGAAGATTAAGATGAAGATTAGAAATAACTTTTTTTTGTTTTTTTTTCTTTTTTTTTTTTTTTTNGAGAAATAACTTTTTTTTTTTTTTTTTTTTTTTTTTTTTTTTTTTGTTTTTTGTTCTCCATCTCGAAGATCAAGATGCAAAAGGGATGAAGATGAGGGTAGTTTGTTCATTTTACTTAATTTAAAAAAGCATTATTTTAAAATAAACCCCCATAGATATTTTTGTTAACCCATTAACTTTTTTGGCCTAAAAATAATTTGTTGGCCAAAATGGTGTATTTTATATGTGAACTCCATGACCCATCAAGAGACATAACAGTTCCCCGGTCTATCAGTCGTTTCCTGAAAATTACATATATGGTCTGAAATAGCATGATCCCTTGATGTATATAAATTATTATTACATGCATAGCAAGGTTTAGCGCAAAAGCACATGATCAAGGAAAAATTAACTACAACAAGAGCCTCTTATGCCCCACACAGAGTTCATGTATTTGTTTCAGAACCTAGGAATCTAATGCCGGGTACAAGTAGGACACTGCTATCTTATGCTTTCATCAAGATATTGATTAATCCTTCTGTCCCACCTTAGATAGCATGCACTAAAATGGCAAAAAGATCAACAACGTCTACTCTACAATTATAGACCAACAAAACAATAAAAACTGAATTGTTATCTAGCGGTAGTGCTATAGAAGAAAATGATTTTTAGGGACAAATCTAGTTCCCGAAAAATATTTCACACCCATATGTAAACGAAGTGCTGGGAACGGTTCATTAGCCCCACTTTCAAGTAGATTACCATCTACCAGACTGATAAACTTGCCTTACAGGAGTTGCACTAAACAAATGGAAAGGCATCCCATTAAGAACAGGTTTTTTTGTTCATATGTCAAGGGCTGGTAAGGTTTTGCGCATTGTATCAAATTAAACCATATGCGCCATCTCACATTTTTCATCAAGCAAATCTAAATCAAATTTTTGCATATAGATTCGTAAGAAAGTGAGGGAACCACTCAGTAACACCCAACCCCAGAATAGATCACCCTCCATCATATCCATAAAGTTTGTTGTTATAATAAGCAAGTCATCTACAAATGAGGAGACAATACAGATGCAAGAACAACAATAAGATCAACCTTGCAATCACAACTAAAATGCAAGAGAAACTCACTTAAAGCTCCAACTGAGGTATGACGATTCAAATCCATATCATCCAATGTCAAATGAATATGAATCCTATACGAGCTCTCGGTTGAATTAGATACCCTTCCGATTAATTTCGAGAATTGTGGTTGCGAATTTGGTATTCAAGTTTGATCACCTCTAAATAAATACGTATTGATAATCATCCACAAGTGATCTACAATGTAGATTTTGGAATGCAAGAATTAGCGGCCAAGATTGACATGAGGGGGTAGTATATACAGATTTAAGGTAGTCGAATATACTAGAGGAGTCCATCTGAGACAAGAGTCCGTGAAAGATGTTATTCACATCCTAGAACCATTAGGGGTTCACCTCTATAATTTACGTTGAACCTACGTAATTGAGCTAAAGACTTCTTGCTGTTATAATAGTAGATAGTAAAATAAAAAATTAACAGATACACACACAGAAAAAACGAGGAAAAATAAAGTTGACTGATCACCATGCTAAGCTATCTAATCTTATTTGTAAATGTACTAATTCTGGACCTGGAGCAAATCCAAAGCAACCACAAATTTATAAATTTTCATCATCGAAGGGAACCTCTCTTTCTGACAGCAGCTTCCAATGGCTATAATCAGGAGAGAGAATGGCCACTAGCTCACATGTATTTTCTAACAACAATGCTCATCAAGCCAGTCCATTGAAGCGATGCCATAGGTTGGGCTTGTTAAGCCAACAAAATTTTAGTTTCTATTCAAGGTGTAAATTATTATTCTTTTAATGGTTATTTGGAGACTTGGGGAAGGGGCCAGATTTATCCTGACGGGAGCAAGAGTAACAATAAAGTTTCTGAATCAAACCGAAAAACAATGGGCGCCATATTCTAGGAGCCCAAACTATGTGATTGAATAAATCCTCCTAAGCACCACCTCTATATTGTGTATCATTGCTATTACTTCAAGAACCTTAGCAGACAACAGATCACAACAGGAACAACTCTGAGAAATAGACCAGGCTGTTCTGGTGAAATAGAACAATCAGACAGAATCTCTTTCGATCAAGAAAGAGCTGACACACAAATGAGTCATGACTACCAGAATCTCTTTCTTAATCAGGTTCCTAGTTAGGGAATCCGATAGATGTTGTGTCAGAAATGTAAAGACACATAATAACTAGTTAACTACTCTATGTTACATTGCATACGTTTTATACTGACTGCACAAATCTAACTAGCATATTATTAAGGTTTAAACCCTATATTTGTGTTTGTATAGCATACCAAGAAAAATAGTCAAGGAAATTAATCCAAACCTCGAGATGTTGTGCAGCTTCAGCACTCAAACCAACAGTAGCTGCAGCCAATCCAATCAACCCTCCCTATATATATGACCATCAAATGATTAACAACGCCAAGTAAAATTTTACAATTATTCTTGCAATACCTTGCGGTGATTTGCTTGGGGGGAGTAAGTGTACTCATGAGTCAATAAATTTATCACAGCAGTAATCCTATCATGATCTCCAGCAGCCGTCAATTGCTTCACAATTCCTTCAACCTAAACAAACATCACCAAAATCATCAACAATGTCCAAAACCCTAACAAAAGCATCACGGACCAAAAATTGAAAAAAAGAACAAAAACAGCACAGTTCGTATTGACTAAAATAACATATAGAGCACATTTCAAAATTGATTAAAATAACCAAAAAGCAACACTAACCTCAAGCGCCGCATTTTTTCGCTTCTCATATAACTTGTCAGAGAGGTTCCGCAGCACGGCCGCCGGAATGGCAGATAAAGCATCCGCCATACCACACGATGATTATAAACAAAAAAAGAAGAAGAAATTAAATCCTTATTTAGTAAGAGCAAGGCGGATGATAATCAAAGTCGTTTTCTGATCTTCTCTTGCTGGAATCGGAACATCTCCTCCATAAACTTACAACTAACAATAACAACAAAGTTACAGAATTGAGAAAACGAGGTGAATTTCAGGAATTTGGAAGAAAAATTGGATGAGTTGCAGATCTAAAAGGGAGTTTGGTGTGCGTGAATTGAATTGAACGGTGACGGAAGGAGACGCCGGAGATCTGTCGGAGGGGGCGGTTTCTTAGTTCTCAAGGGCGTGTTTTGGGGTTTGTATAACGCGTGATAAGTTGGGAGTTGATCACAGAAGTTTGCCAGCTTTTTGAGCCCAAGGTCAATTATGTAAAACTACTCAAAGTTTATATTATCCTTGTAAATAGTAAAATAAATTACGGATTTGGTCCCTATAGTTTACATTTCTACCTATAATGGTCTTAAAATAAAAATAAATACAGATATGATATTTTCAAACTTATTGAGTCCCTCTCACCAATAACATGTTAAATCCCTCTGTTAATTATTGCACATGCCCCTCACATGAGGGCCAATTTCGTCCTTTTGGTTTTTCCCTCTCTTTTCAATGCATATTTAACTATTCATTCATCCATTACCTCATTTTCTTCCTTCTCTCAATTGATTATTCGCCAGCCTGCTTGAATAATACATGTCTTTCACAAAAGATGGTTCGATGTCAGTGGCAGCCGGTATCATTAAAATTTCGTAGACAGTAACAAATGCAGGACAACGCTTGTATTGTTGCTCAAGAATGGTAACAATTTTAACATTTTCCTATTTTTGTGGTTTACCCTAAATGTTAGAATCTTTGATTTTGATTTTGATATGTGGATTCATTAGTTTGTATGAAGGGACTTGATATGCTTGAGCCATGACAACAATTTCTGGGTTATTGGGGTCTAAGAACAAGGTTGAAGAAAACATCGTAGCAGCTAAAAATAGAAGATTGAAGTATGTCTTGTATATCAGTTGGTTGGCAAATGTCATTTATGTATTTATTTATTTATTGATCTAAGTTGTTGTAAGAGGTTGTAATGACTTTGTATTTTGATTTAGGCTATTAATGGCATCACCTATTCAATCTTTTGTAACCAACATGTGTCGTAAGCTTTTGTGTGGGTTAATGAAGTTAATTTTACCTTCATCTTTAACTTTCATTGGGATTATAGTGTCATTTGGATTTTACATTTTAATATTGGGTAATGCAAACAAATTTACATGCCAATTCATTGCAAAAAACCTTCAAATACCAATTTAACGACAAACCAATAAATGGTAAACATAAGAAACTTAGATTGAACCATTTCATTGGCATACCAGTTTAACTACAATCCAAGGCCATGTCATACAACCATCAGATCATATTTTGTACCAAAAGAACGGTCATCGAGTATTTTGTACATTAAAAAACAATTATCAAAGTAAGTTTTACCAAAAAAAGGCATCTGATCTATGTTCCTGCCAGAAGCTATTGTGTGACCAGCCATGGCTATTAGGGAGCTTGTCCTTTGCATGTACGAGAGTCGTGTCCTAGATGATTGCATTTGACATACCTTACAGTTTTCCCAATTCTCCTCAGCTTCCTTCCTCCTTTAGTGATTTCTTCAATTGTCTTATTCCTCCTTTTCTTTGGTCTCCCTATTTGGGTGTGAAATGCTAGTGGAATCAACTTGGTTGGACAAAGTGACTTTGACCACATGTTTCTACCGATAACTAGTTGAACTTTGAAAGAGTACATCCGCATCCATGTTTTCAAGAAATATGTTGGGTGAACCCATATTTTAGGAAATGCCAACATCTTGCTTATTGTTTGTCATTTCCTATATGGTAGCCACAACATGTTTGCATGGGATTCTAGTAAGTTCCTAACGCCTGCAAGAACAGGTTCTCTCTTTCACATCTAGAACATAATGGTTCATCCATGGACTATTAACATGGTATTTGCAGACTCCATTCCAAACTACATTGTAACCCACAACTTCTTTCTTAGTTGCTTCCAACACTTTGGTATTGTTGGTGTTAGAGGTCCAACGGCCTTCTCAATTACCTTCTGGACGTTTACTCTCTTATTCAAGTAAATCCATATATACTCCAATGCTGAGTATATAGGTTTGTCTCCCATATCCAATAGTTGCTTGTTGAATACCTCACAGACGTTCAAGAAAATATTTGTGTGACTTCTTCTTGTTAGCATATAAACACCAATTAGCTAGTATATTGAAAGCCACTTTTGTCAATACATGAAAGATATATTACCTATGAAATGAGACATGGTCCAGTGATGTGGTGGTATTTTCTTAAGCCATTCATAACATGTTGGGTTAAGCTTTTTAATGTTGTACATCTCACTATCAAACTGTTGGATAGTATATGAAGTTGCACACCTCCATAACATGTCTTTGTATTGTTTACCCTTCCAAGACAACCTCATATTTTCATGGATATATCGTACACAATATCTATCTTCTGCACAGGGGAATACCTTTGCAATTACAAGTATTATTCCCTACATTTGATAACATAAATCAATTAAATAAGCGTATAATTAACAGTTGGAATTAGATAGCATGAATTAAGTAAATAAACATAGAATTAAGAATATCTTTTGTCTATCAGAGATGAAAGTGAAGTTAAAATTTGTTAACATGTCCATATCATCTCTAAGATACTCCAAAAACCATATCCATGATAGTGTTGTTTCAGCCTCAACAATGGCATATGCAAGTGGATAAGTACCATTTTTACCATCAATTCCTACTATTGTTAAAATTTGACCAAGAAAGTGTCCCTTCATGAAAGATCCATCAAGACCAACAAAATCCCTCAATCCAACTTTAAACCCTTTCTTTAAGGCCCTATGCACACATACGACCTCTTAGACCTTCTTCTGTCTATTGTTGGATTAGGGTCAACTTCAACTTCTAACTTGACAATCTTACCTTTAGTTGTTCTTTGAAGTTCCTCAAGGTAGTCTTTAAACATTGCATATTGCTCAGAATAATCGCCATGTAGCTTTTAAAGTGCCAATGCCTTTACCTGAAAGCTTTCATCCTTGAAAACTTCGTTTGATACTTCTTTTGCATCTCAATTTGAATCGATCTAACAGGCATGTATGGGTTATATAGTAGGGTCTGTTTTAACTCTTGGGACAAGAACGTAGCCATGCAAAGCCCATACAAAACTGGTTTCAATACAAGCATGTATATCCTTAAGGGTTTTCACCATCCATGTACTTTCATGTTTACCCATGGACATGAGCATAACCCAAGAATAATGTTCATCAATTTTACCTAGTATGTCTCCCAAACAAACAACCTTAATTCTATTGGAATCATTCTTAATTACCTTAATTTGTCATATACTTGTAAGAACAAACTACTCTATCATAGCTTTTATCCCTTCTTTACTCCCAAATGCTTGACCAACAAAGAAAGAACAACGAATATCAGCTTTAGAGATTGCAATGTGTTCCCTTCATTTTCCTCAACAATGATTTCCGCTCTTTCTGTAAGTCAGAGTCATCATAGTTACTTTCAAAGTTCTCCACATCTACTGCCTCAATATTGACAGTAGGCACTCCCTCATTTCTCTATCCACTTCATCCAGAATATCACTTGCATCAAGAGTAAAGTCACCATCTTCACTACCATCACTCGTATCATTTTCATCCACTTCTTTACCCTCATCCACAATTTTACCCCTATCCTACTGTCTTACCCTCATCGGCAGCTTGGTAAGAACCCATATCTACTCCATTCCATTTGCAAAACAATTCCATTTAATAGCTTAGTTTCAGGACCCTTACCTTTCTTTGGATCTTTTTCAATGCCCTCATTACACTCATTGCCCTCAAGCAGCTTCCTTACTTTTCTTTGGACCCTTACCCTCCTTAACATCATTTGCAAGATCCCTAAGGGACTGTCCTTAGGTATTTCCTTTATCACCACATTACAAAAATGGTTGGAATTGACAAATAAGTACCTATATTTGACTTCCAATGCTTAGTTTAAATGTCAATTTGTTTCGATTCGAGAACATTAGTCAACATATTTACACATCATTATCATTTCATAATGCTCTAAGATCATGTCCATTTTATGGTTTCTAAAATGATAGTAAATAGGTATATGTTTGTATACCCTATTTCATCCATCATTGTGTCCAACTCATGCACATAGAAAAGATATTTGTCTACTAAATCGATATAGTTAACTTTATCATCAACATATACCCTTTTAAGAGCCTTGGTGAAAAACCCTCCATGATGAATCTTGAAGGAAAATAGCGTAGGCTACTCATTTGTCAAGGAGAAGTTGAATACTCAATAACAATACAAAGAAAACGAAATAATGATTAAAAAAAATTGACTTGAGTAAGCTACTTACAGTAAACATCAACATGTTGATGGTCTTCACAGTAGTTGCTCCAAACTTCCCATATTGAAAGCACCATTACGAACGAATTTAGGATTTGATTGAGGTTGTAATCAGATTATCGTGATGTCCAAGAAAAAAAGGGTTTAGAGAGCAGCTAAGGATGACAATCATGAGAAGACAGTTCAAAGATGGGGATAGAAAAGGTTTTCTTGTAACCCATGTACTAAAAAAGAGATGGAAAAACCAAAAGGACGTAATTTCCCTTCATGTGAGGGGCAAGTGCTATAACTAACGAAGGGATTTAACAGGCTGTTGGTAAGAGGGACTCAATGAGTGCAAAAATGTCAACCAAGAGTATCATATTTATTTTGATCTTGGGACCATCAATGGTAGAAAGTGTAAACCACGGGGATTAAATCCATAATTTACTCTAGATAACAATATTTAATAATGATCATGTAATTATAAGAACGAATCATATTTTTGGTCCTTCATCTATACATGTTTTATGGTTTCCATCTCTTAAATTCATAAAGTACACTTTTGGTCCAAAAATTGTATCTTTAGCGCAAATACGTCCCTCATGTTAATCTTGTCAGAGAAGGCTCTGTTAAGTCCATCATGTGCTCATCACATGAGGGGTATTTTAGTCTTTTTAGCCTTATTTCTAATATTTATTAAAAAAGGAAATTGATATTATAATAATAATAATTATTATTTTAGTAAATATAAATAGCCTTCCCCAAGAAATTCTAGGAAACCCTCTCGTCTCCTCTCTTATATCTATCTCTCTCCTTTCTTCTATACGTTTGTTCTCCCTTTCCCTTCACGACTTTATCATCACAACAACACCCAACAACCATCGCAACAACACACAACAACCACCGTTCCTTCTCCTCCCTTGCACTTTGCCGCCTATCAGGCTGCTTCGTCGTCGCC